AGCATGGAGTGTTTTTCCATCTCTTTGTGTCTTCCTCAATATCTTTCATAAGTGTTCTGTAGTTTCCAGCGTATAGATCCTTTACCTCTTGGGTTAGGTTTATTCCTAGGGATCTTATGGTTTTTGGTGCAATTGTAAATGGGATTGATTCCTTAAATTCTCTTTCTTCAGTCACATTGTTCATGTATAGAAATGCAACTGATTTCTGTGCATTGATTTTGTATTCAGTTGCTGAATTGCTGTATGAGTTCTAGTAACTTGGGTGTGGAGTCTTTTGGGTTTTCCACATAGAGTATCATGTCATCTGCAAAGAGAGAGAGTTTGACTTCTTTGCTAATTTGAATGTCTTCTACTTGTTTTTGTTGTCTGATTACTGAGGCTAGGGCTTCTAGTACTATGTTGAACAAAAATGGTGAGAGTCGGGGCACCTGGGTGGCTCAGTCGGTTAAGCGGCTGCCTTCGGCTCAGGTCATGATCCCAGGGTCCTGGGATCAAGCCCCACATCGGGCTCCCTGCTCAGCAGAGAGCCTGCTTCTCCCTTTCCCTCTGCCTGCCACTCTGCCTACTTGTGTTATCTCTCTGTCAAATAAATTAATTAACAAAAAAAATGGTGAGAGGGGGCCTCCCTGTAGTGTTCTTGACCTTAAGGGAAAAGCTCTCAGTTTTTCCCCATTGAGAATGATATTCACTATGGGCTTTTCATAGATGGTTTTTAAGGTCTTGAGGTATGTTCTCACTATCCCTACACTTGGGAGAGTTTTTGTAAAGAAAGTATTCTGTATTTTGTCAAATTCTTTTTTCTGCATCAACGAAGAGGATCATGTGGTTCTTGTCTTTTCTTTTGTTAATATGTTCTATCACATTGATTGATTCCCGAATGTTGAACAACCCTTGCATCCCAGGAATAAATCCCACCTGGTCATGATGAATAATCCTTTTAATGTACTGTTGGATCCTATTGCCTAGGATCTTGGTGAGTATTTTGGCATCCATGTTCATAAGGGATATTGGTCTGTAATTCTCCTTTTTGATGGGGACTTGTCTGGTTTTGGGATCAAGGTAATGCTGGCCTCATGGAATGAGTTTGGAAGTTTTCCTTCCATTTTTATTTTTCGAAACAGCTTCAGTAGAATAGGTCTTATTTCTTCTTAAAATGTTTGGTAGAATTCCTCTGGGTAGCCATACAGCTCTGGACTCTTGTTTTGGGGGAGGTTTTTTATTACTGCTTCAATTTCCTTACCGGTTATTGGTCTGTTCAGATTTTCTGCTTCTTCTTGTTTCAGTCTTGGTAGTTTATAAGTTTCCAGGAATGCATCCATTTCTTCCAGATTGCCTAATTTGTTGGCATATAGTTGCTCAAAATATGTCTAATAATTGTCTGTATCTCTTTGGTGTTGGTCATGATCTCTCCCTTTTCATTCATGATTTTATTAATTTGGGTCTTTTTTTCTTTTTGATAATTCTTCCAGAGGTTTATCTCTCTTATTCTTTCTAAGAACTAGCTTCTAGTTTCATTGATCTGTTCTACTGTTCTTCTGGTTTCTATTTCATTGATTTCTGCTCTAATCTTTATTATTTCTCTTCTTCTGCTTGGTTTAGGCTTTATTTGCTATTCTTTCTCCAGTTCCTTTAGGTGTAAGGTTAACTTGTGTATTCGAGATTTTTCTAGTTTTTAGAGAGAGGCTTGTATTGCAAAGTACTTCCTTCTTAGGACCACCTTTGCTGTATCACAAAGGTTTTGTACAGCTGTGTTTTCATTTTCATTTCTTTCCATGAATTTTTAAAATCTTCTTTATTTTCCTGGTTGATCCATTCATTCTTCATCAGGATGCTCTTTAACCTCCAAGTGTTTGAGTTGCTTCCAAATTTTCTCTTGTGATTGAGTTCAAGTTTCAAAACCTTGTGGTCTGAAAATATGCAGGGAATGGTCTCAATCTTTTGGTACTGGTGGAGACTTGATTTGTGACCCTGTATGTGATTTATTCTGGAGATAGTTCCATATACACTAGAGAAGAATGTGTATTCTGTTGCTTTAGGATGGAATACTCTGGGTATATCTGTTACATCCATCTGGTGCAGTGTGTCATTCAAAGCCCTTGTTTCCTTGTTGATCTTCTGCTTAGATGATCTATCCATTGCTGTGAGTGGGGTGTTGAAGTCCCCTACTATTATTGTATTATTATCAATGTGTTTCTTTAACTGTGTTATTACTTGGTTGATATAATTGGTTGCTCCCAAGTTAGGGGCATAAATATTTGCCATTGTTAGATCTTCTTTTTGGATAGACCCTTTAACTATGATATAGTGTCCCTCTTCATCTCTTACTAGAGTCTTTGGTTTAAAATGTAATTTGTCTGATATAAGGATTGCTACCCAGCTTTCTTTTATGTCCATTAGCATGATAAATGGTTCTTCATCCCTTCACTTTCAATCTGGACGTGTCTTTGGGTCTAAAGTGAGTCTCTTGTAGATAGCATATGGATGGTTCTTGCCTTTTTATCCAATCTGATACCCTGTGTCTTTTGATTGGAATATTTAGCCCATTTACATTCAGAGTAACCATGAAAAGATATGAATTTAGTGCCATTGCAATACCTGTAAATTCCTGTTTCTGTAGATTTTGTTTCCTTCTGGTTTATGTTACTCTTATGTTACTCTTGGTCTCTCTTTGCTTACATTACCTTAATATTTGATTAAGCTTACATTACATTAATATACAGTGATTAAATATATATATATTTAATCCAGATTAATCCAATTCAATTCAATTAATTGCTTACATTACATTAATATTTCCTGTGGTGCTGTCTTGGTGGTCACATATTCTTTCAATTTCTGTCTGTCCTGGAAGTTCTTTATCTCTCCTTCCATTCTTAATGACAGCCTTGCTGGATAAAGTATTCTTGGCTGCATGTTCTTCTCATTTATACCCTGAATATATCATGCCAGATCTTTCTGGCCTGTCAGGTCTCTGTGGATTAAGTCTGATGTCAGTCTAATGTTCCTACCCTTATAGGTTAAGAACCTCTTGTCTCCAGCTGCTTTCAGGATTTTTTCTTTATCTCTGAAATTTGCAAGCTTCCTTAGTATATGTCAGAGTGTTGATCTGCTTTTATTGATTTTGGGAGGGGTCTTCTCTATGTCTTGGATGTGAATGGCTGTTTTCTTCCCCAGATTAAGGAAGTTCTCAGCTATACTCAAATATACCTTCTGACCCTCTCTCTCTTTCCTCTCCCTAAGGCACTCTAATAATTCTGATGTTTCATTTTATGGCATTACTGATTTTTCAAAGCCTCCCTTCATGGTCTATTAGTCTATTAGTTGTTTTTTCTCTCTTTTCCTCAGCTTCCTTCCTTTCCAACTTGTCTTCTATGTCACTTACCGTCTCTTCTGCCTCAGTTACCTTAGTTGTTAGAGCATCCAATTTAGACTTCATATCAGAGCATTTTTAATTTAGGCCTGATTAGATCTCATTTCTGCAATAAGAGATTCTCTAGTGTCTTTTATGCTTTTCTCAAGCCCAGCTATTAACTTTATAATTGTTATCCTGAATTCCATCTTTGATATTTTACTTACATCCACATCAATTAGATCTGTGGCAGAGAGTATTACCTCTGGATCTTTCTTTTGTTTTGAATTCCTCCTTCTAGTCATTTTGCCTAAAGATATATGGATGAACAGATGAAAAACAAACAAACAAATATCAACTCCAACTCAAGGGAAATACACACTAGCTAAATTTGAAGTGTCAGAAACCAAAAAAAAAAGGGGGGGGCGGGGCCGTGAGTGGGGAAGAGAGAATAAAATCTCCCAGGTGGACAAAACAGCGTGATCCACTTGGTCCTGGGTGTATTTTGGTCTGTGTGTTAGAAGACACTAAATCCCAAAATTGTAAAGAAGGCAAAACTATACATATACAAAAATAAAATTGAATACAGTGAAAGGAAACCAAAATAGAAGAATATGTCTAGAAAATGTAAATGTAAAAAATGAAAATTAAAAAAAGACTTAAAAACAAAGAGTTGATAAAATAAACTCGTTGAAAAGGGAAAATTTTAAACTGAAATATAAAAGAATCATGAGAAACAACTTCAAATTCTATATACTATTTTCCCTTAGAGCTCCACGTTTGCAGTGCTGTGTGCTCTGTAAGCTTGGTGTTCCCTGTTCTTCCAGCTAGTCCTGGAGCAGGGGCCTGCTGCATTGATTCTCAGGTGTCTGTCTTGGCCAAGTTGCACCACACCTTGCCAGGGGACAGGCTCAGTGTAATGTTTTTCTATGTGGCTTTTGTTCCCTGAAGGCTTTCCAGGCCTCTTTAGAAGATGAGAGTAAAAATGGCTGTGCCCCAATCTCCAGCCCCCAAGCTGAAAGACAGTGGTCCCCTTTCTTCAGTAAACCCTCAGGGATAAGCAGTTTTCACTGTGTGTGCCACACTGCAGACTCCTGTGGTACGTGCCTGCACTGATCCTCCTGGGGGGAGGGTGGAGGGTCACGCATTTCTGTCCTTTTCAGAACACCCCCCCCCCCGATAGAACTGTCACCTGGTCATGCGTGCACCCGTACCTCCCCTACTGGGGGAAGGTAGGGGGTCATGAGCCTTTGTCCTTGCAGGGACCCTGCAAGGAGAGCATTCACCTAGTAGTGCCAGTGTCCCTATTGCCCCTCCCAGGGGAAGGCAGAGGGCCACAGCTTTAACTGACCTTTGCAAGGCTCCTCCCCACCCCACTGACAGGTGTCACCAGAGCCTGCAGGGTACACTGTTTATGGTGAACCAAGCTGAGAGCCTCCTCCTGGGCTCACAGACAGTAACCAGGTTCCCCGCTCCAATGCTGGGGAACTCTGCTGGCTCAGGGACCCCCCATGCTCTCTGTGACCCCAGGGATCCTGAGACTACACTGTTCCACCTAGGATTCTGTCCCACTTCACCAAAGAGCATCTTTCAGGCAGGGATGTCTCTCACTGGAGCAGATTTTTAAAGGTTCAGATTTTGTGCTCTGGGGCTATATCACTTTCTGGTAGCCGGCTTACAGAGGCTCCCTCCCCTCTGCCGTTTATCCTCCGATATGTCCCCTCCATTTCATTTCTCCACACTCCTACCCTGCAAAAAGTGGTCACTTTTCTATTTATAGAATTCCAGCAATTCTTTTATTATATCTCAGGTTGAATTCATAGGTGTTCAGAGTGATTTGATAGTTATCTAGCTAAATTCAGAGGACCAGATGAAATGAGGTCCCCTACTCTTCCACCAAATTGCCTCTCTTCCATAATTATTTTTTCTACATTCTGATTTTATCCTGTTTCTTTTTTAATTTAGTTAGTTAACATATAGTACATTATTGGTTTCTGGAATAGAATTCAGTAATTCATCACTTACATACAATCCCCAGTGCTCATCACAAGTGTCTTCTTTTTTCTTTTTAAAGATTTTATTTATTTATTTATTTATTTATTTATTTATTTATTTATTTATTTATTATTTGAGATAGAGTGTGAGATGGAGCAGGGGCAGGGGCAGAGGGAGAGAGAGAAGGAGACTCCCCATTGAGCAGGGAGCCCATTGTGGGGTTTGATCCCAAGACCCTGGGAGCATGACCTGAGTTGAAGGCAAACACTTAACTGACTGAGTTGCCCATGTACCTCAACAAGTGCCTTCTTTATTACCCATTATCCATCTGGCCCATCCACCACCCACCTCCCTCCATCAACCCTCAGTTTGTTCTCTATTGTTACGAGTCACTTATGGCTTGTTTCCCTCTCCCCTTTTCTTCTTTTCCCATGTCCCATATGTTCATCTGTTTTCTTTCTTAAATTCCACATATGAGTGAGACCATATGGTATTTTTCTTTCTCTGACTTATTTCATGTGGCATAATACACTCTAGTCCATCTACATCATTGCAAATGGCAAGATTTCATTCTTTCTGATGGCTGAGTAATATTCCATATATATATCCTCTTCTATATCCATTCATCAGTTGATGGACATGTGGGCTCTCTCCATAGTTTGGCTATTGTTGAATAATGTTGCTATAAACATTGGGGTGCATGTACCACCTTAGAATCTGTATTTTTGTATCTTTTTGGTAAATACCTGAGAGTGCAATTGCTGAATTGTAGGGAGTTTTATTTTTAACTTTTTGAGGAACCTCCAAACTGTTCCCCAGCATGGCTACACCAGTTTTCATTTCCACCAACAGTGCAAGAGTGTTCCCCTTTCTCCATAGCCTCACCAACACCTGTGTTTTTCTTTGTTGTTAATTTTAGCCATTCTGGTAAGTGAGGTGATAACTCACTGTAGTTTTGATTTTTATTTCCCTGATGATGAGTGATGTTGAGCATTTTTTCATGTGTCTGTTAACCATTTGTATGTCTTCTTTGGAGAAGTGTCTATTCATGTCTTCCACATATTTCTTAACTGGATTATTTGTTTTTGGGGGTGTTGAGTTTGATAAATTCTTTATAGATTTTGATATTAACCCTTATCTGATATGTTGTTTGCAAATATCTTCTCCCATTCCATGGGCTGCCTTTTAGTTTTATTGTCTCCTTCACTGTGCAGAAGCTTTTTATTTTGATGAAGTCCCAATTGTTTATTTTTGCTTTTGTTTCCCTTGCCTCTGGTGACGTGTCTAGTAAGAACTTGCTGCAGCTGAGGTCAAAGAGGTTTCTGTCTGTGTTCTCCTCTAGGATTTTGATGGTTTCCTGTCTCACATTTAGGTCTTTTGAATTTATTTTTTGTGTATGGTCTAAGAAAGTGGTCCAGTTTCATTTTGTGCATGTGGCTGTCCAGTTTTCCCAACACCATTTGTTGAAGAGACTGGTTTTTTTCCATTGGATGTTCTTTCCTGCTCTATTGAAGGTTAGTTGACTATATAGTTGTGGATCCATTTCTGGGTTCTCTATTCTGTTCCATTGATTTATGTGTCTGACCATACTGTCTTGATGACTACAGCTTAATATGTTAAATGCTGACATTTTTAAGGGTAAAATTTTCCTCATTATAATGTGAGTATTGGGGAAATATGGTAGCTGATAACTGATAAATTGGGTGATACAGACATTTACTTTTTTATTGTCTCTAATATATGTTTAAAAATTTTTATAATAAAAAGTTTCAGTACATGAGGTAATACTGAGGACCATTTTTGCTCCTTATACTAAATGGTAAAAAACTGATCACCATGTTTGGGCACAAGTTTTCTCTCCAAGGAAATATTAAATATATTTTTCAGCTTTTCTTCTACTTCTTCCTCATTCAGTATTTTAAACTCTATCAAATCCATATTATCCTTAAAATTGAATTTCCTATAGGTAAGGGTGCAGCCCACTAAACAGTGAACCCCTTCAGAGGTCTGCAAGGAACAGAATGACTTGCTTGTAAACACAGATGTTGGAGACATCTGAAGGTATGTATTCACAGACTCAAAATCTTCAATTGTTCGAGGTTCAAGAGTAAAGGAGTATATTTTTCGGTATTTGTTCTTTTCTAGGAGATCAGAATTAAGAAACTCTTGGTTTGGAATGTACTGGTCTCTTCTGATTTGGTCCAAGTACCAGATTCCTTTGTCTTCTGACAAGTGGAAGATGCAAGGCACCTGAGGCTGATCCTTCCCAGAAATTAACTCCAGAGGCTGCCACATCTGGTAAGAGCGTCCAAACCCAGCATCTACTATGTAATTCCTGCCATCAGTAGTCACCTTCAGGAGAAGGTGAATCATAGCATTGCTATATTTGCTGGCTGGAGTACTGTAAACATACCCTCCTAACATTGTGGTCTCAAAACCGATTGTGGTCAGAGCCCAGTACAGAAGATGATTGACCTGGAGACACCACCCACCACGGTTCTTCCTCACAACTTGATCAAAAATGGGCTCCAAGCCCAATTCCATGGCTTCCCCACAGTGGATGTTAAGGTTCTCAAAGGGAATGGTTCGAATTTGGTGCTGAAGAATGTCAGTTAATGTTTCCAAGTCCACTTTCTTCCTAGAGTTCCTATAACCAATTCTTTCAAAATATGCTTCAATGTCCATGATCCCCTAAGGGAAGTACAACAAAACAGAAATAAATACATTACTTTTGCACTGGATTTCTTTGATTAGCCTAATTATAACTAACATATTTTAAAAATGTAAATGCAATCAGTGGTTATAAATATCCATAATCATAAGTCTTTTTTTTGTGCTTTTATTGTATAAATTACTTTTGTACATATAAACTCACTTAGTAGACTTAGTAACCCTGTAGGAAAACTATTATCACTTCTTTCATGTTTTAAGCATGAGAAATTGGAAATCCATCAAAAGTGAGGAGTGAAATTATAAAAACAGTTTACATGTGGTTTTCTTCATGACGAACAAAACAAGGTTCAAATTGGTATCAAAACAGGGTTTAAAAATAGTTCCTAATACAAATAGGAGAATTATATAAAAGAGTCTATCGATTTCATGGTACCTGATCCACACAATTTCCCCTTTAGATAAAATTATCTGGTCAAAGTTTCCCACTCAAAGATTGTATTCATTTGTGCATTGATTTATTAATTCATTCAATATATTCAATATATTTTCTGAATACCTACTATGTATTTGCTACTGATCTGCTGCTTGCTTGCCCTCAGAAATCTTACATTTTAGTGGGAGTTGGATGACATAGATAATAAATTGGATAAACCAATAAAACATTCAATTTCTTAGATTCTGATAAGTGCCCTGTGGAAAACTAAAGCAAAGAAAGAACACATGTTATGTACTGAGAAAACTAATTTTGAATAAAGTGATCAAAGAAATCACCCTTGTGACCTTAAGGATATGAAAGAATGAGCCATGTCCACATGTGTGGGGAATACCATTCAGGCAGAAGAAACAAAGCAAAAAAAATCTCAAAGTAGAACCTGCTTAGAATGCTCAAAGAACATGTAGGAGGCCAGGGCGATTGAAGCAGAGTGAGTGGGAGGGAATGTGAACTGAGATGAGATCAGACAATTAACATAGGCCTAAAAATCAGTGGGGGAAGGTTCCAGAATAGGCAAAGTGTACCATAATCAATTTGATATTTCTCGCTATTATATGAAGAATAAGCTGTATTTATTCAGCTAAATAAATAGACATGTGACCCATGTGGACCAATTAAAAATATGTAGGTTCTAGGACCAGTACTTTGCTTGTGAATGGTATGTTATCCAAGTCAAGTCACTGAGACTCTAATGAAGGAATATTTCAGAAACCTAAGCAGATATGTTCTGCTGCAGGGCTAAGAATTGGCAGGGTATTTTCTCAAAGCTACTGGGAGAACTTGCTGAAAAATAATATCAACAAAAATTTATGGGGTTGAAGAATTAAAAGCAGGAGAAAAGAAGATGAGAAAAGACCTGAATCAAATCTTAAATTATCTCTTGACTTTCTGTTAAAGTGAGCTAGCAAAAAAAAAAAAAAAAAAAATCCTTATTTTACTAAATTCCATGTAGAAAAGGTTTCTGTCCCTTGCTGGTGAAAATCCTAATCCCATGTAGACGCTAACTGTAACTGTAGTGCATTACCTTTGTTAATATGACATGGCTTGAGGTGACAGGATACAAAAGCCCTGTCCCCTAGGCTAGTGGTGATAAGCTATGTGTTTCTATTGTCCTTCTTATTCTCATTTCTTTTGTATTCTATTTTTCTTTCTTGATCAGCTCTTCTCATTTTGCTAGGATTTTAACTTTCTCTATTTTTAACTTCTGCAACATTATTTTCTCTAAATCTATTAAGTTTATTTCATCTCTTCTCATCTTATTTGCATTGATATCCTTTACCAACATGTACACAAGCTCTAAAACTACCACTCAGACACGGAGAAACAATTGTAATTGAGCCAGGCCATCCAAAACCCTCTCTTATTCTATATCCAGAAGCACTGTTGAATAAGTAAGGAGGACAGGTGATATGGAACAAAAGAAATATGGTTTAGACATGCTTGACCTTTAAAAAAAATTTAGTCAACAGTCTTTTCCCTTTTCAATTAAGTTAACGTATAGTGTGTTATTAGTTTCAGGGGTAGAATTTAGTGATTCATTACTTGCATGTAACACCCAGTGCTCATGACATTAAGTGTCCACCTTAATGCCCATTACCCAAATATCCCACCCCACCACCTCCCCTCCAACAACCCTCAGTTTCTTTCCTATAGCTAAGATTCTCATGGTTTGCCTCCCTCTCTGTTTTTATCTTACTTTGTTTTTCCTTCCCTTTCCCTATGTTCATCTGTTTTGTTTCTTAAATTCCTATGAGTAAAATCATATGGTATTTGTCTTTCTCTGACTGACTTATTTCGCTTAGCATATCATCCTGTTATATCCACGTCATTGTAAGTGGCAAGATTTCCTTCTTTTTGATATCATATATATAATGATATATATATATAGTGGGAGTTGGATGACATAGATAATAAATTGGATAAACCAATAAAACCGGTTATAATGTATACATTATATAACCAATGTATATATACATTATATAACCAATGTGTGTGTGTGTGTGTATATATATATATATATAATCACATCTTTATCAATTCATCGTCCATAGACATCTGGGCTCTTTCCATATTTGGCTATTATGGATATTGCTGCTATAAACATTGAAATGCATGTGTCTCTCTGAATCACTATGTTTGTATCTTTTGGATAAATACCTAGTGGTGCAATTGCTGGGTCATAGGGTAGGTCTATTTCTAACTTTTCAAAGAACCTCCATACTGTTTTCCAGAGTGGCTGCACCAGTTTGCATTCCAAACAACAGTGTAGGAGGGTTCCCCTTCCTCCACATCTTTGTTGATATCTGTTGTTTCCTGACTTGTTCATTTTAGCTATTCTGACTGATGTGAGGTGGTATCTCGTTGTTTTGATTTGTATTTTCTTGATACTGAGTGACATTGAGCATCTTTTCATGTGTCTGTTGGCCCTTTGCATGTCTTCTGTGGAGAAATGTCTATTCATGTTTTCTGTCCATTTCTTGACTAGATTATTATTTTTTTTTTTTTTTGGTGTTGAGCAAGCTATAAATTCTTTATGGATTTTGGATACTAGCCCTTTATCTGATATGTCATTAACGAATATTTCTCCCATTCTGCAGGTTGCCTTTTAGTTTTGTTGACTGTTTCCTTTGCTATGCAAAAGCTTTGTATTCTGACGAAGTCCCGATAGTTCATTTTTGCTTTTGTTTCTCTTGCCTTTGAAGATGTATCTAGCAAGAAGGTACTGGCAATGAAGTCGAAGAGGTTGATGCTTGTGTTCTCCACTAGGATTTTGATGGTTTACTGTCTCACATTTAGGTATTTTATCCATTTTGAATTTATTTTTGTGTATGGTGTAAGAAAATGGTTCAGTTTCATTCTTCTACTTGTGGCTGTTGTTTTCCCAACAGCATTTGTTGAAGAGACTGGTTCCCCCTCCATTGGCTATTCTTTCCTGCTTTGTTGAAGATTAGTTGCCCAGAGAGTTGAGGGTCCATTTCTGGATTCTCTATTCTGTCCCATTGATCTATGTGACTGTATTTGTGCCATACTGTCTTGATGGTTACAGCTTTGTAATACAGCTTGAAGTCCAGAATTGTGATGCCACTGGCTTTGGTTTTCATTTTCTTTCTTCCTTCCTTCCTTCCTTTTTTTCTTTATCTCTCTCTTTCTTTCAAGATTTTGCTTATTTATTTGACAGAAAGAGAATATGAGCAGGGGGAACAGCAGAGGGAGAGGGGAAAGCAGGCCCCTCGCTGAACAGGGAGCTTGATGTGGGCTTGATCCCAGGACCCTGGGAACATAACCTGAGCCAAAGGCAGATGCTTAACCAACTAAGCCACCCAGGCACCTCTGGTTTTCTTTTTCAACATTCCTTTAGCTATTCAGGGTCTTTCCTGGTTCCATACAAATTTTAGGGTTGTTTGTTCCAGCTCTGAAAATGCTGGTGATATTTTGATAAGGATTGCCTTAAATGAGTAGATTGCCTTTATTTATATATTTGGCTGTTCCTATTAGGGGAATAAACACTAACAGTTGTTAGATCTTCTTGTTGGATATACCCCTTTATTATGATGTAGCATCCTGTTCATCTATTACTACAGTCTTTGGTTTAAAATCTAGTTCGTCTGATATAAGGATGGCTACTCCAGCTTTCTTTTGATGTAAATTAGCAGGATATATGGTTCTCCACCCCTTCACTTTCAATCTGGAGGTGTATTTGGGTCTAATAGACACTTTAACAATATTTGTTCCTCTAATCTATGAGCATGGAATGTTTTTCCATTTCTTTGTGTCTTCCTCCGTTTCTTTCATAAGTGTTCTGTAGTTTTCAGAGTACAGATATTTTACCTCTTTGGTTAAGTTTTTTCCTAGGTATCTTATGGTTTTTGATGCAATTGTAATGGAATAGATTTCTTGATTTCTTTCTACTGCTTCATTGTTAGTGTATAGAAATGCAACAGACTTCTGTGCATTGATTTTATATCCTGCAACTTTGCTGAATTTCTGTATCAGTTCTAGCAATTTTTGGGTGGAATCTTTTGGGTTTCCAACATAGAGTATCATGTCATCTGTGAAGAGTGAACGTTTGAATTCCTCTTTGTGGATTTGGATGACTTTTATTTCTTTTTGTTGTTTGATTGCTGAGGCTAGAACTTCCAGTACTATGTTGAACGACAGTGGTGAGAGTGGACATCCCTGTCATGTTCCTGACCTCAGGAAAAATTTCTATTTTTCCCGATGGAGGATGATATTAGCTATGGGTTTTTCATATATGGCTTTTATGATGTTGAGTTATCTTCCCTTTATTCCTACAGTACAGAGAATTTTTGTCAAGAAAAGATGCTGTATTTTGTAAAATGCTTTTTCTGCATCTACTGAGGAGCTCATATGGTTCTTGTCCTTTGTTTTATGAGTGTGGTGCATCATACTGATTGATTTGCAAATGTTGAACCACGCTGGAAGGACAGGATTAAATCCCAGTTGGTCGTGGTAAATAATCCTTTTAATGTACTGGTGGATCCTATTAGCTAGTATCTTGGTGAGA